AAAAAGTTTGGATAGTATTATCTTCACTTATTTCAGGTTTACAGCTTGTTGATGGTTCTTCGGTGGACAGAGTCAAAAAATGTATCACTGCATGTATGTGTTTGCATAAATTAAACTTTATAAAGTAGTCTATACACGTACATGAAAATTGATGTACACACACATTACATTCTTTGCATGATAGTTGACAAGGACATGAACTATGCTCTATCCTCTCATGACGTAGATCCTTAACTGTATAAATGTCATCTTTATCATGTTGTGATTTTACATAGTAAGAGCCTTTTACGAAGGTTATGTCTTTGACTTCAATATTGTGGCTTTGCAAATGACTTTTTTGGATTAACTTTATTCTATAGGACATGGCCCCTTTAATATCTTTCGATAATTTTTTAAACATACAGTCTCGAACCATTTTAATCAAAGCATAAATACATGCATCAAGTCGCCTATTTTTTTTTCCGTCAAAATATATATATTTGATTGTTCGATGAATTGCTTCAAGATACATGTTTGTATTGATTCCCAAACCTTTTCTATAGCAAAATGCCCAAAGAGGTCCCCTATCTGCATAATATTTTTGAAAATATTCTCCAAACTCCTTAGTGTCATTACTACCAAGTAGTTCAACCATAAAAAAATGTACATACTCTATAAATTCCTCAGTGTCAGTGCTTACCAATAGAATGCGTAAAGCTTTGTAAACCTTTGCTCTTAATTCTTGCCCCTTAATTTTTGTTAAATTCTTTCGCCAATTGCGATCTACGTGCCATGTGCATAGAAGACGATGTGTTGGATGGTCCATTATGCTGCTCCATGCATTGTAGAATTCGGGGGCATCATCAGACATAAAAACTGTAGCTTTTATGGTGCCTAATTTGTTTTTAATTATTTCAAAAAAGTAAGATAGAATATAAGTATTTATTCTATTTGAAATAAGAAAAGCACAAGGAACACCTTCACCATATTCATCCACAACTACAAGAGTTGTTAAAAGAAAATCATAACATGTTGTCCCGTGAGTAGAATCGATACAAATTTTATCTGAACCGAACTTCAACAACTGTTCTTGTTGATATTTTGTGCTCAAGATTAATATAAAATCTTGAACATCAAAGTTATCAAGTTGTGTATCTTGCATTTTAGAAAATAATATAGGCGATTCATCATTCTTCTTTGACATTTTTTCTATCCACATTTTCACACTCAAGACATCATTTGTGTGTAGGTGGAAGTGTCCCTGAAGATGGAATTCTTTTTTTATATTACGCAGATCTTGTCGATCTATAAGAGTTATTCGATTTACTTCAGAGGATGATGTGACACCATCTCTTATATTATCAAGGATTTTGTTGAATGTAACACCGTCAGCAATTTTATCTAAAATAAAAATTATTCTTGTTTACCTGTGTGCTAATGTTTTGCTAACCATTACATACCTGCTATTTGACGCCTTTCATTTTTGGTGAGGTTTAAACATTTTAAAGAGCAGATATGGCCACTATGAGGCAAGAACAGTATAGCTTTTTTCTCATTATCAAAATACTCCAAAGTGGATGGACAAGTGGAATTTATTTTGACTGAACCCTGACTTTTTCCTAGCTTTGTCTTTGAAGTTGATGGACTTTCACAATTTGTTCTTGGTCTGTAAGAACGATGACAAACATAATACGTTTTATTTCCCTGCTTTCCTGTATGCTGGATATAGCGGCATTTTAATTCCTTTTCTAAATCTTCTTTCCACACCAAAAAATCTGAAAAATATAAATTCAATACCGTTAAATACACACTTTTCCATTGCCATATCATATTAGATATGTCAATGACTACGTTTACGCTGCATGAACGTAGTGGATAGGTTCTATCCAGTTTTTGCAGATCCAGTTGGAATATGCGGCATAAACGGAATAGTGCGTCAGATAGCATAAACGGAATTGAATTTGATGTCATATTTTTAGACATCACTTTTAAACCTAATTTTGCAATTATTAATTATAAAGTGTAATTGAAAGTCATATACTTAATGTCTAAACGCTGGTGAAGAAAAGTTCAGATAACAAGAAAATACTATTTTGAACATTTTAGGGATGGACGAGTAATTTCGACGTATCCACTTGAGATTACCATGGTATACACACCCGCGAAAGTAGGTTTTAACGTAGCGGGTTCCCTATATCCGATTGAAAGTTACGTCGTAAACGTAGTCAATGAAGAAATAAATATTCTTTCATCCAGCACAGAACTGAATATCATTAATACCTAACTATTTTATGTACTGTACCTACACCTAAGTGTATCTCATGGTTATCAGTATCACAATAAACCTCGCAATAAACGTTTTGTAATTTGTTGTTACTTACCTTTCTTATCATTAAACTTAACTTCCTGCACTGTAATTTCTAAATCATGGCTTTCTACAAAATGTTCCCTTAACTTGGTGTATGTAGTGTACTTGCCGTTACACAAATGGCACATTAATGTTTTATGTTGTAATTGAGGCTGGACATTATGAATATTTCTAATGTGAGCATATAGGTTTTTTTTCATTTTAAATTGTTTATCACATATTTGACACATAAGCTCTGCAAGGTAATCCATATTATTTTTATTATGGTGCACTACCACCACATATTTATACTTAATTAACCACGTTTAATATAAAAAAATTATACTGTAAAAGTCGAGGTAAAAGTGTATACAAATATATATAGAAATATATAGGTAAGTCACGTGATTTATAATTGTCAGCTGTTTTTTTGTTTTTATGTCTAGTTTTACATAGTCCGCCAGGTGCCTCTTCAATCGCAGCCTCTTCTCCACACACCGGCAAGTTAGAATTATTCAATAAAGTTAAGTTGTGGAATATTTTTATTTCTTTTTACTGCGGCTACCACATAGACTAACTGCTTCGTTATTTGGATCTGTGATAAAAAGAAGGCCTTCTATACCATGTCACAATTTAGTGCAACACTGCTTGCATTTAAATAACTTTTGGTATGAAGCTACCAATTACGGAATAGCGAAAGAGGTAGTTGCCAGTAAACATTTTGAAAATAAATATAATGTTTCCGTGAAAAAAGCAGGCTTGTGGATCGACATTAATAATGGGTTTTTGGCAGCTTCGCCTGATAGCATGTGCGATGTTACATTGTTCTTCTAACTAGTTAGGTATTTTGAAGGAATGGTTAACGAAGACGCAATAGTAGAAGTAAAGAGTTTATATGCTGCATCAAAATTAGGAACCATAGATAGCATTAATTGAGAAAATGAGATCCAAAATTTGTTTACAAAAAAAGGACAATGTTATTTCTTTAAAAAGAACACATGTCTACTATTATCAAGTAAGTATATCAACAATTATGTAATCTTTAACCGCTCATTGGATTACTTTCATAGATACAGGGCCAACTGCATATAACACAAAGGCAAAAATGTTTTTTCATTGCTTATGTTAATGACGAAGTGGTTTTATTTGTGGAAGAAATCTACAGAGACGACGAATTTTGGGAGACTCAAATGGTTCCTAAATTAATTTTTTTTATAACAAATGAATTTTGCCCGAAATTGTACTAAATAGAATTGGCCGAGGATTAAAATGTAAAGATCACCAAGAAATCGTGGAAGCAAGGGAGCGAAATGAAAAGCGGCTCAGAAATAAATTGGTACATACTGAAATTCACGGTGCCAGTCAACAATAACTTTTTTTGAGATTCCACTTCCACTGTGACTATGAACTTATCTCACCAAGACGGAAAGAACATAAAATTTACCTCCCAATATGAAAATGTGGGTCCAATTTGTACATAATCTCGAAATCGATTGCAGAAGAAAAGATTTCAGTAGTGTAGTGTAAAGTCATAGGGAACTGTGTTATTTTGTAAGTTAGAGCGTCCAAGTTTCGTCAACAATAGCGCAGTGGACCGTATAACTTCATCTTTTTGCCGTAGAGCAGGTTTTTAAAAACAGTTATGGTCCGCATGTTCAGCATATCTATTGATGTGATGTATGACAAATGCCATATAGAGTATGAGAAATGGGACTGTAGAAAAGTACGTGAATAAATGACATTCGGTACTCGAACGAGCTAGAAGAAGTGTTTTTCATTGCCCTTATACTCGTATAAAATGCTAAACGCGTACAAAGTGTACATTACATGGCGACGAGGCAAAAGTAATTGTTAATTCTGGTCCGAAGAAAAAAAGCATACCTAAACAGTGCAAACACATCAGCATAACAATAGGCTCCGTTCTAGCAAAGACAACCCGTGAGCGAAATGGCGGCAGTTGAACCCAAGTTCCAAGTAGTACTAGCAGTATACCAAAAGATACTGCATTTTGTTATACCAAGGTGACACTTGGTACAGCTGTTCCTTAGAGCCATTTAGACGATTTGGCCCGAAGAACACTTTACATTTTCCGTGTGGGTAGATTTTAGAGGAGGTGGAGGTGATTTATTGTAACATTTTATTAAAAACTAAATATGGCCTAGAGACGAGATCTGGGTGTCGAATTTCGTATGATTTTAACCCGAGGAATCAGTGTTGTCCCTGTTACATCTCATTTTATCTGACAATCTGACCAAACATTTTGGTTTCAGATTTTATAACGTCCACTCAAAGG